TCGTGCCGAAGCTTGGCTCTCCCACACTTAAACTTTCTCTCACGGAGAAGGGATGAGCAAGGTATAGTTGCTACCTTTACGTATTCAACTCTGAGCCATGGCTACGTTTATTTAATTTATTTAGAAAACCAACAGCACTACATGTGATATATTTATAATAAGATATATGTATATTGTTCAGTAAAAATTGCTAAAACTGAAAGCTAGAAAAGCTAGTGATTCGTAGTTATTCTTCCCTTCTCTGAATAAAAAAGGGTTTTTTTCAGAAGTGAGCCAGTTGCAATGTGATGATATCCTTATTTATGAAATTAGAATAATGTTTTGATTGTTCTTTTACCATTTTATCATACAGTAGGATTTTCTATTGTATCGCGAGTGCGTTTACTAAAATTCCTACAATTTCACATGCTCATGACTACCAGAACCGGAGCAATTTGTCCATCACACATATCGTTATTCTGTAAGGGAGTCAAATCCATTAGAATTAAGTCTTCGTAGGTACATAAATAAATAATTTTAAATAAAATTAACTCTGGTAGATTTACTCTATTATATGGATATGAGTACTAACTGTTTTTAAATAAGTCTTCGTTACTTTATCTCTTACTTCCTATTCTATTTCAATTGGAATATTTTCTTTATTACTTGAATCATTTGAAATGTTCTTGTTACTAACACACACAATCGCACACGATCCGTTAATCGGTAATAGATTATCTGTGCTGAGGATAGCGTGAAGTTAAAAAGAGAAAGAATGTCGAAAAAAGTGTGGGGGAGCCATGCTTCAGCATTTCAGCAATTAACCACGTCCTCACAGAAAACCAGCGTGAAACAAGACAGCGTTATGTTCCGCCATGTGAGTGAGGTTACCGTAGGCCCAATCCGTCCCCTCCCCCAACCCTATCTCCAAATCCCTAATCCCCAAAAGATCGGCAACGAACTCGTAACTTCTCTATTGTTGCGAGTGTCCATGAGCGGCGCTGATTGCTTACCATCAGGCAATCCGTCTGCTCGTTTACCGACCTACAATAAAAAAAGACGGATTGTGTTTGATAAGTCATGCCTACGTTAGGAAGGTGTGGAACTTCACGGTTAGCGTTAGAGGATAGAAGAAGTATCAAGGAAGATCTCTCATACATATCAGCTCATGTCCTATCATGATAGTGAGTGCCATGCTTCGGCACGAATGGGTCGGCTCAACCGGAGTGATACCACGGCCTCACATAAAACCGGCGTGATACAACCACATCGTTGTTATTCATCGTGTGAGTGATGTTACTTCTTGAATCATACTACATCTTTTAATTCCCCTCTCCTTTCTTATTCCCTATATCCCTGAAACCCTAATCCCCAAAATGTCGGCAGGCACTTGTAACTCCTCCTTTGTTGATTGCTTACCATCAGGTAATCCGTTTGGTCGTATGCCATCCTATTCCACAAAAAGTAAAAAGACATCGAATCTACATATAATATTAGTCTTTATTTACTATCATATTATAACTACAAAATATCCTTGCTATATATAGATATTGATAAGGAATTTAGTTAATAAGTAATTTTATTGATTTTATGTCATGATATTGATAGTTAATAAGTCATTTTATTGATTTAATGTAATGATATTGATAGTTAATAAGTCATTTTGGAAAATATGAAACACAGAGCAACCAAATTTTTTTTTTAATTCTGTGAGGGCTTGCCCATGGTTGAAGGTCCGTGGCTCTCCCACATACATATACATATATATCAGGTAAGGTAACAAAAACATAAAATGCAAAATATAAAGTTAATTTTAACAAAATGCAATGAATAATGTATGCAATTAACTAAAGCGCATTACCAACCGCAGTAGATCAACTCTGAACAACTAAGTGAATTCTGAGCGTCCAATTAAAAATGAACTGCAAATTATGCCTGACGTTGTCTGGACGCATTACTGAATTAAATTTTAATTTTTTAACCAACTTGCTAGAGCGTTTTCGTGTTTTTCATAGACTAACAAGATAATATCTATTCCCTGAATGGTCAAATGTGCATTTTAATATGAATAAAGATCTGAATCACATTTGCCTGGTTGGTACTATATAAGCCTCCGTAAGCGTGGGTCTACAGACGACGAGCAAGTGTGGCTCGCCGGCCAACTGGAAACAGGCCATGGTGTACAGTATGTTGCGGTCCGCGCGCAGCCCCAAGAGCCACATGGGTTCAGACCAGCTGTGGGCCCCTTAAATGACTACTCTCTCGACTCTCCAGCCAGAAGTCCAAAGACTAACCAGGGTGGCCTTTCTTTTCAAAGGGGATTTTGTCATAATCCCCATCCTTGTCGGATAGCTTAGCGATGATTGCAGTTAGAAAATTTTATGGATGCTACTGGTAATATTGTGTCGCAGCACAATTTTAGAATACAGATGAGTCTGTGTTATAACAAACGATAGTGAACACCAAAAGAATTATTCAATAATTATGTAGCTATTTACGAGTTTTGTGCTTCTATAATTTTTATTTAAAAAGACGTCACTTTACCGGTTTATCTATTTCGAATAATCTCGATCGAATATTTAGCTACATGACTCATCAATACCTCGAAACGGGATCTATAAATAGGTAAACAGTTTAAAAAAGTAACAGTAATAAATAAAAGAATGTCATTGACCATACATATGTACATACATACATAAAACTGAACACAACAGCAGGTCAAAATACACCAATTTCTTTAATACATTTTCAACTCTAACATAAACATATAAGGTGACAAATCTATTGTGCGACATGACAAAATGGATGAGGTTGATGTGCTAGTATTTTTATTTACCTATTTTATATTTATACCGAAACTAAATGTTAATAAGGTCATCAGGTTGACTTGGAGAATCGAAGTTTTTTATCTTCATTTTATTTTACAGGATGTTTTACTTTTTGATTGATTAAAAATAATATAATAGATAGATAGGCGTATGGTACTCACATTAATGCAGAACACACACTTGTAATGGGTCCTGTAGATAAGATGACGTAAAGAAATCAAAATAAATATATTAATATTATACCTAACGAGGTAAAATTTGTAAGTTTGTATGTTGGGAGTAACCTTTGGAACCTCTGGTCTGATTTCCAAAATTCTTTCACTGACAGATAGCGACAATGCTCCTGGCTACAGTGTATAAATTATACTTGATTTGCGTATTTTAGTCAAGCTATTGTTTTAAACGCTGTTTTTTAAATCCGTTTCAAATACGCTAGTTTGATACGCGTGCGAAGTCACGGGTGGAAGCTAGTTTGATGCAATAAAATATTTGCCATCTGCTATCAAAGGACCACATTTGAAAATCGAGGTCATTAGTGAGCGAATAAAAAAACCGGCAGTAAATGTTTACGATGATGATAATCATTATTATAATATTATGCATAAAAAACAAATTTATGAAATTTAATTAGCTCAACTACTTTCCGATTCACTAACAATACCAGGAAACGAAAGTAGAATTTAAAATTTTAATGAATTTTAAGCGTTTTTAAATTTAAATCGGAGTCTAGTATTCCGAAATACTGTGTCATGATTATTTATTCTTGATTTGGATTTTGGATAGTGCAGTCGTCCGTGTCTGACAACAGTTAAGGTGCTAAACAAGTTCGATTTATATTGAAGTAGTGAAAGAATTAATTGAAATTGATTTTTAAAAGAAGCTCCAGTTAAGAAGGCCTTTCGGTTGGAGAACCACAAATCTTCTTCGCCAGTTCTTCGAAAAAATCTAATTTATAGATTTATTTAAAAGAATGGCAGAAATAGACACGATGGATCCAGCCCAAGAATACGTAGAAACTATGCTGAGCCGCCACAAGAAGATGGATGAGCTTACAGAAAATGGAGACTCGGCAGTACAAAAGTTCTACCAAGATGCTGTGGTGTTCGTGACTGGTGGCACGGGATTCCTTGGGAAGCAGCTTATTGAGAAGCTGATAAGGTAAGATTAGCATTGTTTTTATGGAATAGGTCGGCAAACAAGCAGACAGATCATCTGATGGTTGAACAATCGCCAATGGACACTTGCAACAGCAAAATTGTTACGAATGCGTTGCCAACCTTTTGGGAGATATCAGAGATTTAGGAATTGGCGAGAGATGGGAAAGGGCAAGGATGGGTTCTTCGGTAACCTTACTCATATGGCGAATTACAAAACTGTAGTTACTTCACGTCTGTACTCTGTGAGGCCGTGCTATCGCCCTTGCGATCCAAACAGGATCGGATCAACTTCGAAGCACTCCCTTACACTTTTACTAGTGTTTTTCGTTTGTTTTATTGTGGCGATACTTAAATTTTATTATATCCTTTGTTTTATTGTTACTTTAATCATTACTTGCTACATAATATTTGACTGTCTTTTAGATCAACGAAACTTTCCAAAGTCTTCGTGGTACTACGACCCAAAAAAGGCAAAGGTGTTGAAGAAAGACTCAGTGAATTGTTAAAAGAACCTGTGAGTATTGAAACTATAGTCTCATTAGCATAACTATCATCAACAAACAACCATTAGTCAATTTCCGGATTTTAGTTCCTTTCTAACATGGTGGGTCGGCAAACGAAGTGTTGTATAACCTGATGGTACGCAACATCGGAGGTGTGTTGCAGCTCTTTATTTTATTAGGGTTTAGGAGATTTAGGGATTGGGTGAGGGGAAAGCCGGGCCTTTAATAAGCTCACCCACACGGATTAACATAACGTTGTGGTTGTTTCAAACCGGTTTCCTGTAAAACCGTGCTATTACCCGGTCGAGCTGACTCATTCGTGACAAAGCATGTCTTACCCACATTTATAAAATCAATATTTTTTGGTGCAAGTGTCAGCCAGTCTTTATCAACTGTATATTATTTAAGCTGCTTTAACGAATTCCATTCTTTCTCCATCCCCATGTGGTTTAAGTCTCATTATATCAAATGCTTACCAAAAACACCAAACCATCTAACAAAAAATACTTATTTTTCTCCAGGTTTTTGATAAGCTCAGAAAAAAACAGCCAGAATTTGCAGAAAAGATCATCCCGGTAGCGGGCGATGTCAGTGAACTAAATCTTGGCATCGGAGATCAAGAATGGCACATACTGACAGATGAGGTAAGCCCAAATTATTATACTTAGGTAACTATCATAAGTTCAAACCTTACCAACCTGGATGTAGACTTATTAGAATAGATAGTATAATTTAGACACCACTGACATACGGTTAAGGAAACCAAAGTGAGAAAACTTGAACTTAAAATTTCTAATTATAAGTTTGAAGTCGCTAATCCACGTTGAACAAGCGTAGTGATTAATGCTCAAGCCTTTTCCCTGTAAGAAGACGCATTTGCTCAGCAGTGGCTACTTATAGGCTGATAACGTAATGTGTTGTCAGTGAAGAGACAATTAACTAAGAGTTTCTGGTCCTGTGATGTATCAGGGGGTTTTTATTTACAATTTGGATTCAAGATTTTGTTAAGTCTGGAAAATCATGAAATAAAATAAGATAGGAAAAGAACAGTTCTTTTATATATTATTTTGTTAACATTATCTTTTAACAGGTCAATATAATATTCCACCTGGCTGCTACGACCAGATTTGATGCGTCAATCCGAGAGTCAACTTTGATCAACATTCGAGGCGCCAAAGAAGCTCTGCGTTTAGGCAAGGAATGCAAAAACCTGAAGTAAGTAGCTTCTTTTTTAACCTGTAGTAATAACTAGTGCCTGTTGATTTTAGCGTGTTATTTTAACCTATATTGCCCTCCTTAATTAAAAGACTATTACCACAAAAAATAATGCACAAGTTTGAACCAGTGATTTTGCAGTTTAGCTTGTTCAGACGAACAAGTTCTTTAGCGATAGAACATAAGTATAGATTACTGTTTTGTGAAATATGTCATCCTAGCAACCCGCCTCGGCTTCGGTGCAATGCTGATACTGAATTACTTCAGAATTTAATGGATGTTTACTATACATATAAACCTTCCTCTTGAATCACTCCATCTATTAAACAAACCGTTTCAAAGACTGAATGCACTTTTAAAGATTAAAGCATACTACATAAGGATATAGGGACGAAGAAAGCGATTTAAAAAATAGGTTACTACAACGAGCTATGAAAATTTTGTCCTGCGTTGAGGCTTTGTTTTCCCTATACCACATAAGTTTGGTTTTATGTAAGGTCCTCGGTTATAGATGTTCAGCGTAAAAAATATATTAATTTAGATTTTCTTTTATCCCCACAGATCTTACGTCCACGTCTCCACAGCCTACGCTAATGCTACCCACAGTCGAGTCAATGCTCAAGTGCGAGAAGACTTCTACCCGTCTCCCATTGACCCAGACATGATGATTGAGCTCATAGATTCTGTTGAGGAAAGCAGACTTAACGATATGACTCCCAGGTAAGGTTCAGAAGTCATTAACATTTTTGAATGTTCATAATCATCTTTCTGACCTTTTTGCAAGTTACTGCGTTGGTCGGTATAACACGTCGTTTTTTGTGAGAGAGGATATGTCACACTCTTACTGACTAAAAACTACCCTGTTCCTTCAAAAGCGGGAGCATTGGGCCCAGGTTTCGGTACATTATTGGATCCCCATCTGTGGAAGTTTTATGGCTCTGTGAAGCGCGCACGCAATACGCGCTATACTCTTGGGTCTGTTTTTCACACCAGCCGCAGACCTGCGCTTACGGTGGCACGAGGTCTTCCACGTTTCTTCTTTATCAAATATTGCATTTACATTTTCATCTTAACTTTGGTCATCTTCTACTATGAACACAACGCAGATTTCACTAAATCTTCAATAGCCAGTAAGAGCCATCAACTGGTCTATCTGCCTTCTCTAAAGAAGATGACATATGCCATGGCCTTCACTCCTGGCATGAGTTGACGATAATAGTTTCAACTTCAAAAGAATCAGGTCTCTTTCATTTACATAAATATGTGTCAGTAGTCCAATTGGTGACACTACCCTTATAATACTACAACAATTCACTCAGAAAGGAAATGCTAATCTTTATCTTTGTAGATATTTTATAGCCTGTTTACATTAATACTATGGTTGATTGACTGTGTAAAATTTTTATTTTTTACTCTAAGTTAAGTCGTTTTATACATAGTGACACTCGCACCTTATATAATATTACAATTCGAAGTTTACCAAAACAACGAAAAAAGAAATTTAAATGTATTTTACTTACATTAACTTTATGTCTTGGAAAACTAAATATTCATAAATCTGAACATTATATAGTTTATGCAATATACCTATTATACATTTAAGATATAAACGATTACGTAATGAAATCAATTAATTAAAGCGAATTCGATATTTTAGTATTGTCTTTAAACTCTTATTATACTCATACACCTAACGTTTTATGTAGACTCATAAATTATGGATTTTTTGTGCGTACTTTTACACAGTCTTTAAAAAAAATGAATTTGAAGCTTTTCGCACAACGGAGGAGTTACGCAGGCATTGCCGACCTTTTGCGGATTAGGGATTTGTAGATTTTGGAATTGGGGAAGGATTGGAGGAGGGTAATATTTGGTCTCCGGTAACCTCACTCTCACAGCGAAACACAACGGTGTGGTTGTTTCACGTCGGTTTTCTGTGTGACCGTATCACTCCGATCGAGCCGAGCCATTCGTGCCAAAGTATGGCTTTCCCACACTTCAATACTAGTATAATAACTCATACTCGTAACGTTTTATTTAGACTCAGAAATTATAGAATTTTTTTATTACAACACTTTAAAGAAACTATTGGTACACCAGAGCGCTGCAGCATTTTCTTTCACTATCTTTGGTTGGCTCTTCGGTTTACCGTTATTCAGACCTACACTGATCTATCTCTGTGGCATTTTTTACAATCGATTCACTAGTGTGTTACTGTGATTATAGTGTCAATGGAAAAAAATAAATTTATAAGGTAAAATTTATGGCGAAGTGTATGGCTAAGCGCACGTTTTTGTTAATTTCTTTTTTGTTGTGTTTGTTATTGTCAGTAAATAGAAAAGAAAAAAGTATAATGTAGGTAGATAACTATGAGATGAGTAGAATAGGATGAAGTGGGATAAATAGGATAGAGGAGATTATGACAGTACCTTCGCCCTTCACCTGCGGGCGGTGGGTCTCAATGAAGATTTCCAAACCAGACACCAAAAAAAAAAAATTGTATAAGGTACAGTAAAGAAAACGAAGAATAAAAACGAAGCCGTGGGCAAAAACTAGTCTACCATTCAAATATAATCGTGGCCTCGTTGCTGACTCACGCAAAGCTAATGCTTTGCCTCGACCAAAGGCCTTCTGCCTTCTTCCATATACGCACACCACATAATAATATATCAAACCTATAAATTCAAAAACTTCCTAGTTCCTATCTGGGTCACGCACACATTAACTTTGTGTTTCGTCGTGTGATTGAGGTTACCGGAGGTACACCCTCCCTTCCTCCTCGCTCAATCCTCAAATCCCCTGTCCTTAAATCCCTAATAATCCACAAGGGCCCGGAAACGGACTTATAGTAACTCCTTTGTTATTACGAGTGTCCATGGGCGGCGCTGATTGCTTACCATCAGGTAATCCGTCTGCTTGCCGACCTCTGACGTAAAAAACGATTATTTTATTTGCAGTTTGATCCAAGACTGGCCGAACACATACTGCTTCACCAAGGCCATTGCTGAAGAAGCAGTGAGAACCATGAGTGGAGATCTCCCTATCTGTGTGGTCAAACCTTCCATAGGTAAAGTTTAAATATTAGATAATGTTTTATTTGCTATCACATCTGTCATGGCGGCCCCATAGTTATGACACCCACTTCCAATGCATGAGGACTCGAAATGTGACAAGTTTTAATGTGGCTTTTTCTGACTTACTTCTTCATACTCTACTTCGTGTATGTACTTTCTAAGACATGTATTAAGACACTACTGACAATGATGGGAGACATCGTGAGGAAACCTGGACTTTGAAATCAACTTGGGCAACCCTGTGCACAGCAGTGAACACTTTCTAGCCTATATTGTCCCACTGCTGGGCAAAGGCCTCCCCATCTCGCTTCCACACCTCCCGATCCTTCGACCGTGTCCACCAGTCTCGACGATAGGCGTCTAGATCGTCACGCCATCTTTTCCGGGGCCTACCTCGCCTGCGGCTTCCATCCTGAGGTGTCCACTGGGTGACAATAGTGGCCCATCTCTCTGGATGCATTCGGCTGACGTGTCCGGCCCAGTCCCATTTTAATTTTGCCGCCTTTTGGCCCACGCGGTGAACACTTAAACATCAATATTTTTCGCATACATACTGTCTTGTAAGTGACACAGCGGATTTTTGAGAAGCAACCAAATTGATTTTCTCCTGTATTGTGGGTGCGGTTACAAACATATAATTTCACATACACATCACACCCAGACGCGGAACAATAATTTCTGGATCACACAAAAAGTTGTTTCGTGCGGGAATCGAACCCGCGACACGTTGCACGGAAGCCAGTTGCCCAGCCACCGCAGCAACCGTGCAGTCATATCTATTAATTAGTTCCAAGCTGTACCTACAATGATTTACAGGTCAGCTATCATAAAGTAAAATAGGTGCACGAAAACTATTTTTGTTACAGTAATAGGCGCCATGAAGGAACCAACTCCAGGTTGGATAGATATGTCAGCTGTGTATGGAGTCACTGGGGTAAGTTAAATCACAAATATAGAAATTTTATGAAAATTTGCTTAAAAATTTTGATGTGTAAAATGAAATTCGCGTGGTTTTCTTTCACAAATTATAACACATTGTAGGAATCCATTCAAGCGATAAAAAAACGATCTAATCGTACACTTGATGCGATGCGACGCTAAAGTTAGGTATATAGAGCGAATATTATTTCGCGGTGTGGACTAGCCCAAAATTTTTTGCTTTAGGAACACAGACTGATCTTCTTGAAACATGTTGTTATGAAACTCGGGTGCTCTTCAATGAAAGGTCGATTATACGATGTTATTAAATTAACATACTGCACATGTTCCTAGTACAACAATTACAGATCAACTGGCTATTCTGGATTAATATCAATTACACAATGCGACAATCGTTACCAAAAAAGGAGATGTGCCACAGGCACACATGAAATAATTTATGGTCGTTCTACAAATTGTTGTACTTGGTCTGAGTGTGACCAATAGGAACCCAATTACTGTACCGTTCAACGCAAATAACAATAAGGAAATGCATTTATACAGATTTGAGCAAAAATGAACTCTATTTACAGGCGGGTCTAGGAGCAGCTCTAGGCCTAATGCACACATCGATGACAAACCCAAATGTGAACCTGGGTCTGATACCGGTAGACTACGTGAACAACGCAATTATTGTCGCAGCGTGGGAGACTGCCAAACAAAAATCAACCAAAGACTCGAACCCTAAGGTGTATACTGTAATATCATCCACGAGAAGCCCTAGAAAGTGGAGTAAGTATTTTTTGAACTACGTAGATACACGCTATAAATGTCTCGCAAACATTTGGAAAATCTTTACTCCTCAAAGAGCTCTCTCTACTGCCATAAACCGTACCCCATTACAAGGACCATGTTTCAATTGAGAACTTCATAAATTGTAGGACCATGCTTTTCTTAAGAATTTCACAACTTGTACAATTGACAATATAACACAGACATAAAATTAACCTTTTTAAACTTAAAACAAATGATCCGGGCACTTCAGATTAACTCCTTAGCTTACATTACTTAACACTTTTGCATTCCAAAATGGTAGGATGTACAAGAATATATGATCTTACCAATTAAAATAAAAATGGATCGCAAAATGTGTTGGTAAGCGCATAACTCGACAACGCCTGGACCTAATAAGACAATTCTTTTTTGGTGTATTTTTTATATTCAGAAGAAGGTTCATATGAAAGAAAATATTATAAAAGTACGGGGGAAAATAGACCCTTTCGTTGTTAGTTAAAAATTTAACCCGTGCAAAGCGGGGGAGGGTCGCTAGTTGTAAATAAAAATAATTGCATTCTGAGAAAATAAATTCTTAATCTATTCTATTCTTAATTAAAAAACAAAAACCAACAAAGATCATCAAAATACTTCTCATCGTTCTTATGAGGGGGGTTGCCTAGAAACCCCGCAGCATCGCAACGTTTAATGGTAACGCTTAACTATGACCGAAGAAAATAAACCAGCTTTTCGGCTATTTGAAGTGTCATTCATAATTACTTTCAATTTTTTTTTGGTACAAGTCGGCAAACGAGCCCACGGATTACCTTATGGTAAGCAATCGGCGCCGCCCATGGACACCCGCAATACCAAAGGAGTTACGAGTGCGTTGCCGGCTTTTGGGGATAGGGGTTGCGGATATAAATATCGGGAAGGGATAGGGGAAGGGGCGGGATTAGGCCTCCGGTAACCCCACTCACACGGCGAAACACAACGCTGTGGTTGTTTCACGCCGTTATTCTGTGAGGCCGGTATCACTCCGGTCGAGCCGACCCATTCGTGCCGAAGCTTGGCTCTCCCACACTTCTAAATCTGACATATGTAATTCTTTTCTTTAAAAATAGACCCCAAAATAGGATGTTTTTGTTCTTTGCCACCATCTGTAAGTTATATTTTCTTGTTAACAGGTGATCTCTACAAGCTATTGCAGGATATAACATTGTGGAAGTATCCATCACCAATGTCTATAGCTTACAGCTTGTACCTTCAAACAAGTAGTCCGTTCTTGTACTGGGTCTATTCCTGGCTGTTCCACATGATACCAGCGTATATTGCTGATGGAGTATGCTCAGCTTTAGGAAGACAAAGACGGTAAGTTTTACAAAATGGTACAAGATTGTATTTTTAACGGATTGCTCTCTCGACTAGTTTTAAGCCTCGCTCGGGGTTCGTAATTCTTATTAGAATCAAATTCGGTTTTAAAAACGTCAATCACCGAGCCGATTACAACGAAGGTTTAAACATTGTTTAAGGTGTGGAACAGGCAGTAATGAATTTATAGTAATATGACACAATTAAGTAGATTAAATATGCTAGCTGTGTTTAATAGTCATACATAAATTGGCCTGTCAGACAAATTACAATACATACAGTAAGCAAATCCCTAAACAGATAATTGTCTTGCATTATAACTGTAACAGCTAACTATATTGTGTGACATATTAAATTAATCATTATAAAATAAAATACATAATATATGTATGAAAATGACATGAACATCAGCCCCACGCGTGGCTTGAAACTAGTCAAGTTACTGCGAAAACAGTTACGATATTTTTTTCAAACTATAATCTATTTCAATATTCGATGGATCCTAATTAATTATTTTTGTTTTCAGATTCGTCAAATTATTTACAAAAATGACAAGACTAATGTTGGCATTGTCGTACTTTTCTCTGAACGACTGGCATTTTGCGGATGATAATACTGAAGCCTTGTACGACAACCTTTCAGCGGCTGACAAAGAAATTTTCAGTTTTGACATCGATAGACTGAACTGGACTGAATTCGTAGCTTCATGGGGTGTTGGAGTAAGGCAATATATTCTGAAAGATGGCCTCGTTAACACCAGATATGGTATTAAGAGATTGAAGATGTTGAGGGCTCTTACTTACATAGGAACCACCATTTATTTATTTGCCCTGTACAAAACGATTCAATTCTCGTTTTATTTTTTATCTTTTGCTTTTAGTAGCGTTTTAAATTATATAAATTTACAAATGTAATTTATTGATTAAAGTAAGTTATTAAATAATATATGTGGTGTGTCTCTTAATGCGTAATTATCGGGAGGAAATCTTATCTCTACTATACACATGTAAAGGAGCAACTTATTATCGAGGGAGGCCCAATCTTTCCACTCCTTCCATCCCTACCCCATCCTTAAATGTTCGAATCCCTAATCTTCAAAGGTCGGCAACGCACCAGTAACTACTTTGGTTTTGTGGATGTTTTGATTGCTTACCATCAGATAATCCGTGCGCTCGATCTATGCCTAAAAAAAATATTCTTAGACGTAGATCAAAACGAAAAATATCGTTTTCAAAAATGAATGTTATCAAAATAAAACCAACAGGTCTTAATAAAAAATTGTTTCATTCATCTTCCATAACACAACAAAAAACTGAAACGAAACGGCACATACAACAAAAACACATTTCTGCAACATTACTCGTAACTTTCTACACACGAAATCCTTTTATATCCGCCATTACTCACAAAACAACACACTGAGACTCCAGAATTCCAAAAGCCTATCGTACTTCACTATGGGGTCAAGAACAAGCTCCTGTCAAACGAATGATGACCCCAACCGCTCGGTAACGACCGCCTCATCTCATTCTAACCTTCAAAAACCCTATACATCCATCTCTGTCCCATCTCAACTTGACAGCATACACTTGGAACTGAATGAGCGCAATTGCGATTTTTTTTTCTTCCTTTTTTCCTGAGTTTGTTTGGACCGACTTGTGGCGTTTAAAATGTGATAAAATGCTTTTTTATGTAACCATACGTATGCGGGTGTATTGAGGTTAGAGTCAGGATATGTGGGGCATTTTTGAGGTCAAGCTGTATTGATGTGAAGCGTCTCGGATGGTCCGTGTTGGCTGGTACAAAGTTCGATTCGTGTTGATTTAACGTTGATTTGGAATCATACTTTTTGATATGTGAAGTGACTTTGATACTCATAGTTTAAATATCTGGATTAAAATTGGAAGTAGTATTAGTAGAAGGAATGTGGAAGTTGCCTCAAAGATCTTATAGATAATCTGGAACTAATTTCAATTTATTGACATTTGAATAGCTACATAAAAAATATGAACTGATCCGGTAACACTGAGATTATTAAATCTCCGGCTAAACCTTTTCATTCTTTATCAGTTAAAGTACCTACTCTTATATAAATATTGTAATATGTCGAACTTTTAATTTGAAGGGGGAAATCATCAGATTCTGATGACTTTTCAAGCCGTGAATGGAACAAGAGGGAGTTTCAGACTTTTACTGACTGAAAACCACCCAGCTCCTTCTCCAGCTCCAGACTAGAGCCGCAGTACGTTATTGTGCTTGCACTCAAACTATATAGTTATTATATCTAGCTACCAGCACTCGGTTAATTTACAGAGCTAAAGACTTTCAAAAAATCTCAAGGGCAATTTTACCTTCCAATGTTTGTGAAGCTAACATTAATCCAATGTAACAAATTATAACCTCCATATCACTCCCTTTTATAAATAAAGTCATTTCCCGACGCCGTACGAACTACTGGCCGTGTTACACATTAAACAGGTGAAAGACAGAAGTCCAAAATGTATTTGAATTATAATGTACAAATTTCACATACAAATTACATCTACAAAAAGTTGTTCCGTGCGGGAATGAAACCGTTGTGCCAGCCAGTTGCTCAGCCACCGCGCCAACAACACACTAATTAAGTATATTTGGCTGTCTCTAACCAAACAAGTGTGGGAGAGCCAAGCTTTGGCACGAATGGATCGGCTCGACCGAAGTGATACCACGGCCTCACAGAATACCGACGTGAAACAACCACAGCGTTGTGTTTCGCCGTGTGAGTGAGGTTACCGGAGGCCCAATCCTTCCCCTCCCCCAATCCCTTCCAATCCCTGAATCTCCAAAACTCTAATCCCTAAAAGGTCGGCAACGCACTCGTAAGTCCTCCGTTGCGGGTGTCCAAGGGCGGCGCTGATTACTTACCATCAAGTAATCCGTCTGCTCGTTTGCCGACCTATTCCATTAAAAAAAAAACAAAAATTTACAAATTAAAAAGATTCCGATTCCGATTCCGATTCTGGTAGAAATTATAGCAAGTAAAATTAGTAGAGATGATCATGTGTCATCACGTTTTTAAAGTTCAAATTCCCATTGAACCTTCTGTAATACTTGTACAACAAGTCTGTTATACATCAAGTGTTAGGTTCCACTGTAGCGTGGAAACTTTCAGCTTACACGCTAAACTTGCGTCACTGCCACACCTTCAGGGCAAATTTCACAGTAACAAGTTACTTCACAGTGTTATTTTGAAAGCTTTTGGTTTATCTTGATGACAAACGACAAACTGATTTGTTGTAAAATGATTCTTATTTAGTTTTAACTTTATGTCACTTTTTGTTTACCTTATTAAGGGCTGATTTTTCAATAGTCAGATTAATGTTATCTATGGAATTAAATTATTGCTGTCACTCTTTTATACAAACATTCTAATGCGACAGCATCATTTTTTTTTTTTTAATGAAACTTTCTCTACTCTAGGTTTTTCTCCTGTGTCTTGGCTGCGGTTTCAAACATACAATTTCACATACACATCATACCCAGACCCGGAAAAACAATTTGTGGATCACACAAAGAGTTGTTCCCTGCGGGACTCGTACCATCGAACCCGCGACACGTTGCACGGCAGCCAGTTGCCCAGCCACCGTACCAACCGTGCAATCGACACTGTGACAATTTTATCATTCCCCAGATCTAACCATTGAAAAATCAGGCCTAAATGATTTTGAATTAATTTTGCGTTTCAATATTTTGCATATACGTTTTATTTTTTGTGAATGTCAGTTTGGTTATAAGGAAGAAGGATAAGGTCGTTACAAGGATGAAAAATATTGGTTTTCAACTAAACAATGCGTTTTAATTTTTACATTTTGGATAGTGTTAAAATCGATACAATCTAATTATGAATTAAATCTTTCTAATATTATTAATATGAAAGTTTGTGAGAATGTATGGATGTATTTTTGTTATTCTTTCACGCAAGAACGGTTGGACCGATTTGGTTGAAATGTATTATATAGATAGGTGATACCCTGGATTAACACATAGGATTTTTATCAACATACTAGACAACTGCGGGCGGAAGCTAGTTTTTGTCTCAATCAGAAATATGCATAAGTACACATGACTTTAACTTAAAACTTTGAATTCTGATCTTGATTAAACTTATCTTCCACATTCTCGTTTTTTAAATCTAAAACAAATCAGTAGAAAAAAGAGGTTATTGACCTAAATTCACAAAGAGTTCAGACGGTGAAAAACCAAGAGTATAAACAAGCTATTTTGAAAACTATAATATTTGCTTCTAGATCAATCTTCGAAATAGCTAATAATACTTCTTCGAAGTTTCATTTAATAAACATTCTGTCATTTTGACTTGTAAAACTGTGAATTACAGAAACTTTCACCTTGGCTGTCAAATAAAAATTTTCGTTTTAATGTACAGTTTTTTTTTTTCAAATATAGTAACAGTACTTACCTACTTTGAAATAAATGTGGGAGAGCCATGCTTCAGCACGAATGGGTCGGACCGACCGTAGTATAATACCATGGCCTAACAGAAAGTCGTCGTGAAACTATCACAGACTATTGTGTATCGCCGTGTGAATGATGTTACCATAGGCCCAATCCTTTCCCTACCCCATCTCTCCCCAATCTCAAAACTCCAAAACAATTCTCAAAACTACTTAATCCCATATTGTTGACAGTAGTTACAAGTGGCAATTACTCTAGCGTCCATGCGGCGGCGCCAATTGCTTACCATCAGGTAATCCTGTTCGTCGCACACAAAACAAATTCGGAGAGCTGTTTTACCTATTTATCAAATACGTATTCCTTAATCGGATTCCGACCCTCACAGAAATCATCAATTTTTCATCACCACAAAAACAGCCATCAAAAAAGTCTACATCACTACAAAAATATCACATTCACACTACAAAGTCGCTCACTTACTCCAGTTAGTCTCGAATGAGGTCAAACTGAACTCCAGTTAAACTGATACGCAATTTAACCGAGCGTGGTGTAGCCCCCCTCAGCTGTACCCATCCATCAACTCCAAGGGGAAATGTTTTGCCCAATGCTTTCCTTCCTGGCGTGGCTATCAAAGTGCTTTTCATAACCGGTGCTAATATCCTACGATTGTGGTTATACAACTTGCAAAAATCGCGTCTGAATGGTGGAAATGTGTTCTGGAAATCTGTTTTATAATTGCTTTTGTGATTCTAACTTTCTTTGAGTATGAAGTTGCGAGACGCGTTCAAACAGCTTGTAGCAGGATAAGGAATGGAGTAGTGATTTAGTCAGTAAGAGTCTGACACTCTCTCACCCGGGAAGGATAAGACAATTGATGATTTTCTTCCCTTAAAAAAAGACTATTCAAAGGATGAACGGTTTGTCTGAAGTTTAAGATATGCTTGCTAGACAAAAGACGCTAATCTAAGTAGTGAATCTATGGGGCCAGGTCGGTCAAATATGTCATAGAAGGTTTCCAATGTTCTCTTTCTTTTTAAAACGGCAACATCATAATATTACAAAAAAAAATATTTTGTAGAAAGCAAACGGTTAGTTTATGTTTAGTTATAAACAAGTCTATGATTTAGAAATTGGCAAAAATTTTGTATGCTTCAAACTCTTGTTGGCAGGCAAAATCATTCGCAATGCAGCTACTGCAGTTCTTAGTTGGTTCGTTTTATACTTACTGTTTTATGCTTACGTTTTATTACTTACTTGGCCTTTTTTTTTGTCAGGTGGAAAATCATCAAATGACCTCTCCCACCCAGGGTAAGGCGAGAGAGAGTGTCAGACTCTTACTGACTAAAAATCCTCCGTTCCTTCTCCTACTGACTACCGCGGTGACTCATTGCGGTTAACCCGCAACCCCGGCTAAAGTTACTTGAACTTGGGGTCCAAGGTCAAGCACGTTATGTTTCGCCGTGTGAGTGAGATTACCGAAGGCCTAACCCTTTCCCCCAACCATAATCTTCAAATCCTCTAACCTTAAATCCCTTATCACCTAAACAACGTGTTGTGATTTAACAAAGTTCACGTTTCCTTTAATTTACCTAAGACAGATACTTCATTTTCATTTTATTCCTTTCATTTTTAATCACTACCATAAGACAAAAATAGTCGTTCTAGAAAAGCCAGGAAAAATTATCAAAGAGACCTCTCTATCTATTCTCTTTGAGGCTAAAATGCGTGAATAATCGACATAGTTAGGAGCATTTAGTTAGATGCACGTAACGTAGGCGCTGCCAACAATTGGCCAAATTGACCTCTGTAATAGGATCCGTCACCGTACAATCATTAATAGAACTTTAAGAAATTTTTATTGTTCTTTGTCAAAAAAGAAACTTGGCCAAACACAAGGATTTTCTCTTGTATCGTGGGTGCCTTTACAAACATAAAATTTGACAAACACATCACATGATTTGGAATAATAATTTGTGGATAACACACACACACGTCGTGGAGGCCCGGAGGTTAAGGAGTCCGCTTCTTATGCATGAGGGTTCGAAACGTGGCAAGTACCAATGTGACTTTTTCCGAGTTATTTGTATTTTCAATGATTATTTAGACACCACTGACATACAGTGAAGGTAAACATCGCGAGGAAACCGGGACTTATAATTTCAAATTATAAGTTTGAAATCGAAAGCCCGCATTGAGCAAGCGTGGTTATTAATGCCTAATTTAACCTTCTCCGTATGAGAAGAGGTGTTTGCTCAGCAGTGGGCAATAGGCTGATGATGACGATGATGACACACACACGCAACACGTTGCGTGGTAGCCAGTTGCCCAGTCAACGCGCCAACCGTGCAGTCGAAAAGTCTTGTATTTAGGCAAGTTTTTTTTTGAGGGCGGATTATCATTAAGTGGGTGCACTTGCCCTTGGTAAGGCAAGACGAATCCAAGCGAGGGAAACGGCACATGATTGCACGTCCATCAACAATCCCATAGGTAATACCAAATGTTCTTATGTGCCAAATTTAATAACGACAAGACGATTCAATCTCTTGGCAAACTAAAAATCTCTATTCCGTTTTACAAATATTAGTATATATTATAGTTTGCATGTGTATGTCAAAAGAATCAATATAAAAATGCTAATAAAATCGTGTATTAAAATCCTTAACACGCCATTCTAAGGTACATCTAAAAGTAGAGGATATTGAACACAAAATTTTAAGTTCCAAAATTCAAAATATTCACCGCAGAAAAAAGAAGGAAATAGTCGTCAGCGCGGCACCAGATTAGTAATCCAACAAAACTGACGGGACCGCCCAAAACTAACAGCTTAAATGACAAGTTAATCCATTTAGCGAGCATCTCTTTTGTAAATATGATACGACCTCGATATCCACTGTCAATGTGTGAGACAGAAGGTTTACTTGACTCTGTTGGTATTCGAAAACCGGTTACTTTAATATTTTTTTTTCATCATCATCATCATCATCACCAGCCTATAAGTGCCCACTGCTGAGCAACGGCCTCTTCTCATACAGAGAAGGTTAGAGCATTGATCACCACGTTTGCTCAAAGCGGGTTGTCGATTTCAAACATATAAATAGAACTTGTAAGTCCAGGTTTCCTCATGATGTTTACCTTCACCGTATGTCAGTGGTGTCTAAATAATCATAGAAAGTACTTATAACTCGGAAAAAGTCACATTGGTACTTGCTAGTTTTTGAACCCACACCCTCATGCATGAGAAGCGAGCTCCACGTCGCGGTGGCCCAGAGGTTAATGATTTTTTTTAATGTTATTGAAATAAATAGTGATTTTTGAATAAAAAACTATCATGAGACATACCAAATTAGTCAAAAATAACAGAATAAACTGATAAAAACTCTACCAGATTCAAGTCAAAACGGGACTCTTATTCGTGAGCGATTGGGACTCGAATCTAGTTGAGCTTTCCTCGGTTAATTCTGGTGAGTAAATCGTTATTTTTAATATGTGTTGTGATTTAACAAAATTTCCCAAAACAGATCACTTCTACGAGTCTAGGTTTACTCGAGATGTTTTTCTTCACCGTCCTTCATTGGTGTCTAAATACTCTTAGAAGACACATATAGCTCGAAACCAGTTATATTGCCAGGTTTCGAGCCATTACTGAGAATGAGAAGCAGCCTTCTTAACCTTTGAGTTACCACGACAACCAAATACATCCACATTACAGGAGAAAATACTACTGTTAGGTCAATTCTATTTTACATGAGGTCATTTCTATTTGACATCCACAGTTTTCATCCACCTGATTCCGTCCGGTGCTGGACATAGGCCTCTCCAATTACACGCCACTGAGCTCAATGTTCAGCTCTTCTCATCCAGCCACCCTGCGGATATCGCCAGTCCATACACAATATACATATCTGGTATTCAAAAATATTCAGAGTAATTTTTTAGAAAAAAAATAATGTTTTTAACAAAAAAAATCCAATTTGACCTACTGTATTAGTCTTTCCCTACAACACTCCGCAGTGTGTGATGAGTACATACGTACGTATGCGGTTGTGTTAATTTCCGCATAGATGTGGTCTAGATTGTCAACTGCTTATCATATCATTGCTGAACAGAGTTTAACAAAGAGTATGACTGCAAAGAAGAATTGTGTTTGAGTGTGGGAGAGCCATGTTTCGGCACGACTGGAGTGATACGACGACCTTACATAAAATCGGCTCGAAGTAACACTTAGGTACCTACTTTGTTTTTCGCCGTATGAGTACTAGAGGCCCAAGCCTTCCCCTCATCTTCAATCCTCAATCCTCAAAACCCCTATCCCTAAATCCCTAATAACCCACAATAGTCCAGCAACTCACTTATAGTAACTCCATTGGTATTACTTGTGTCCATGGGCGGCACTGATAACTTACCATAAGGTAATCTGGGTGACAGTTTGCTGACTTATGATATGAAAAAAATCGTGCAACGTTAACAGAAGAATTCAATAATAATAATTTGGCTGTGTTAAGCAAAATGTGCGAAACTGTGGGAGAGCCATGCTTCGGCACGAATGGGTCGGCTCGACCGGAGTGATACCACGGCCTCACAGAAGACCGGCGTGAAACAACCACGGCGTTGTGTTTCGCCGTGTGAGTGAGGTTACCGGAGGCCCAATCCTTCCCCGCCCCCAATTCCTTCTTAATCCCTAAATTTTCCAAATCTCTAATCCCTAAAAGGTCGGCAACGCACTCGTAACTCCTCCGTTGCTGGTGTCCATGAGCCGGCGCTGATTGCTTACCATCAGGTAATTCGTCTGCTCGTCTGCCAACCAATGACATAAAAAAAAGAAATAGCTCGGTGATAGGATGTAGTGCGAAATAATATTGAGTGGTTCCTTGAAGGATGCGATAAAATATCATGAGGAAACATGGTCTTCAAGTTGGAAATCGCAAATCCGCCTTAAGCAAGCGTGGTAATTAATGCTCATTTTTAATTCAATAAGAGTCAAACGAGCAGACAGATCACGTGATGGTAAGTGATCAGCACCGCATATGACCACTTCATTCTTTTTTCATGTAAGAATGGACCTTTTTCTTCAGCAGTAGTTATTTATAGACTGATGATATTGTTTTTATAATAACTATCGTGAGACATTCTAAATTAACTAAAAATCGGGGGTTACTCACGTGTATAGATTGAGAAAAGCTCTACTAGTTTCGAACCACAGAGGGGTTCTTCCTCGTGAGCAGCGTGCGCGGCCTACTGATGATAATGATGAATCGCAAATCCTAAAAAACTGCACGGTTGGTGCAGTGGCTGGGCAACTGGCTGCCGTGCAACGTGTTGCGGCTATCGATTCCCGCATGGAACAACTCTTCGTGTGATCCACAAATTGTTGTTCCGGGTCGGGGTGTCATGTGTATGTGAAATTGTATGTTTGTAACCGCACCCACGACACATGAGAATATCCTAATGTGGGGTAAAAAAATCCGCTTTGAGCAAGCGTAGTGTATTATAATGCTCATTCCTTTTATTTGTAGAAAGGAGCCTTTTTGCTAAGCAGTAGTTATTTATTTATATGTTGTTAATGATGACCTATTACTGGGTAGGTTATTCTAGAAATATCGGAATCCACATAAGGTGGTAATATTACAATAGTTATGTTTAATCGCTTTTATTAATACAAACTTGCAAATATACACCTAAGGTTTTCCCTGAATACAGAAGTTTTCAGCCATACAAATTTTACAGCACTGTAAAGTTTAACGGGCCATTTCAGTGACCTACATCTGAAATTCAATTCGTTCGGCTTATAGCGACTTGAGGTTTATTATATGTTATATATTAGTAGATAAGATTTTTAATATTGTTTTATATGTTAAAGCGACGGGTGGTTAAAACGATTTTTTTATGTTATAGGACTGCAAAACGAGAGATTACCTTGACCTGGGGGGTAACTATGGCATTCAAAGTAAGACTGTTTTAATCATACATCAGTGTGGGTAAGAGAAAGAGCTATACAAGTTGCCTAGCTCTGTCTCTCAAACATCATGGTTAGCCCCCTGCAACAACAGAAGAGTTACGAGTGCGTTTTCGCTATTAAGATTTAGGGGATTTAGGGCTTGGGGAAGCATTGGGCCTCTATATATTTTTATTTCTAACAGTTTTTTTTTTGTGAGTGGGATATCATCAAATGACTTCTCCCATCCAGATTCAGACTCTTACTGATTAAAAACCACCACGTTTCTTCTCCTGCTCTATGCCGAGGCCGCGGTTGTATATTTAACAGTTAATTCTTAGGTATGAGTTCGTCTGACTTGATATTGTGCGTATATGTTTATGATTTTTATAACGAATAGATAGAGAATATCTGATGGTAAGCAACTGGAACCACTCTTTAAGACACAAGAGAATTTGAGAACTTAGGATTTGGGAAGCTAGAATAATGGGAGAATTTTGCCTCCTGTAACCTTACTCACACAATGAAACAATGGCAACGTAATCGTTGTTTTCACGCCGGTTTTCTGAGTGGCCGTCACATCAGTCAATCCGATTCATTTCTGTTCTTTTTGTTCCAAACACTTTGAGAAATAGAAACCAAGTTTCACTAATCGACAGACATATTATTTTCCACATTCTATTATAATACATGAAATAAATATTTTGACTTTCGTAAAACTGACGCTATTTAATTATTTTTTAACGAAAATTTTGCTTTTTAACTTTTGTAAGTCTACTTATATTTTAAATGCGGAAGTCTGCAAGTAAGGATGTATGGATCAATGTTTGTTACTCTTTTAAGTAAAAACTACTGAATAGATCAGAATGAAATTTGGCACATAAATAGGTTAACGGTCTGGAATAACACAAAGGCAACACTTTTCACCCTGATACCTTCTGCAAGCGAAGCCACTAGCAGAAGCAAGAAGAAGAATTAGGTATAAACCTACCAAGAAACAATGAACACAATCCCAAATCAATTCCATTACCAGAAATCAAAAGAAATGACACTAACAACACAGAAAAGTAGAACATTAGAAAAATTGCAAAATGCAACGATGCAGCCACTATGCCCTGGTTGCAAGCAGTTTACAAGACAGTTGCCACTCGACGGATATATCCTGCTAACCCCTCAAGTTGTATAGCGCGATGATACTTTACGACCTCGTTACAGAACAGGTACAGTCGTGGAGAGAAGTGGTTTTCCATTATTATTTTTATGTTTATTTAGTTTTGGACTGTAAAGGCTAGGTTTTAAGGGATGAGGAGAAATCATTAGCATAATAGGCAATCTCTTTGGCATTACATCACTATTTAACATGTTCGATTTTTATATGATAGTAGCCCAAAGAGTCAGAATCAGCTGGCAGGAAGTGATCAAAGCTGCCCATGGACACCGGCTACATTAGAGAGGACAAAAGGTCACTGCTTTTTTTTTTGTTATAGACCGGCAAACGAGCAGACGGATTACCTGATGGTAAGCAATCAGCGCCGCCCATGGACGCAACGGAGGAGTTACGAGTGCGTTGCCGACCTCTTGGGAATTAGTGTTTTGGAAATTAAGGGATTGGGGAGGGATCGGGGGAGGGGAGGATTGGGCCTCTGGTAACTTCACTGACACGGCGAAACACAACGCTGTGGTTGTTTCACGCCGGTTTTCTGTGAGGCCGTGGTATCACTCCGGTCGAGCCGACCCATTCGTGCCGAAGCATGGCTCTCCCACACATAGACTGCTGGCTCTTTAAATTCAAATTTATTATTATATATTACTTATATTAATAGTGCAGCTCACGACCAAATTCAGCCAGGGTTGAGGGGCAAGCGTTATAAGGTACCGCAGCCTCGGCCTCTAGTAGGAGAAGGAACGGGAATAATTTAATCAGTAATAGTCTGACACTCTCTCTCGCTTAAACCAGGGCGAGACAATTGACGATAAAAAAATCCACGAAAGCCAGACCCAAGAGTTTGGTTTGTTGCGTTCTCCATCCACCTCAAAAAGCCATCAGACCATCACAGATGGGGCCCAGTAGGTCAGATGTCTTTTTTTTGTGAGGAGAAAATCATCAAATGACTTCTCCCGCCCAGGGCCGGGTGGGAGGGAGTGTCAGACTAAAAACCCCCCTGTTCCTTCTCTTGCTCTGGGCAGAGGTCGCGGTTTCTCATCGCGCTTACTTCGCAACCCCGGCTGACACTACGGAGAGAAATTACGGTTTACCACACTCGTAAAAAAAATTCTTCTTCTTAACCTTATAACTAAACTCATACTGTGTTTTACATTATTTGGCTTTGGTATCTAATATTCTATCCATATGCTGCGGCGGCAAACCAGAAGTCGCATTACCTGATGGTAAGCAATCGGTCACGGAAATCGACATCACCAGTGGATTTGCAAGTGTGCTGCCAACCTTTTAGGGGATTTTGAGGGTTTCGGGAGTGGGAAAGTATGAGGGGTGGAAAAGGTTTGAACATATAGTCATACGGCGAAACACAACGCCGTAGTTATTCCACGCCGGTTTTCGATGTGGCAGTGATATCACTCCAGTCGAGCCGACCCATTCGTGACGAAGCATGACTCTCCTACACTACAATGCCTAAGTATAGCTATTTCTAGGAATCCAACGGAGTTGTATTATAAACAATAGATTTATATAAAGACTAGTGCTATAAATAAGACCTAGGTCAGCCCACACAGCACGATCAACTAAATATTACTCAGATTTACATAATTTGCGGTTAGTTATTGCTATTCTATTTTATCTTTTGTTTATATAAGAATTGAATTTTTGTATGAGATCGTTTTGATTTCTATTTTTAAGTGATATGATGGTTTGGATTTAACTTATTTTAATTCAAATATTTGTTGATTCTTATGATTAGGTTTAGGTGTGGGAAAGCCATGCTTCGGCACGAATGGGTCGGCTCGACCGGAGTGATTCCACGGCCTCGCAGAAGACCGGCGTGAAACAACCACAGCGTTGTGTTTCGCCGGATTCCGTTTTCGACGGAATACCTGATGGTAAGCAATCAGCGCCGCCCATGGATACCCGCAACGGAGGAGTTACGAGTGCGTTGCCGACCTTTTAGGGATTAGGGATTTGAAGATTTAGGAACTGGGGAGAGATTGGGAAGGGGAAGGTTTGGGCCTCCGGTAACCTCACTCACACGGCGAAACACAACGCTGTGGTTGTTTCACGCTGGTTTTCTGTGAGGCCGTGGTATCACTCCGGTCGAGCCAATCCATTCGTGCCGAAGCATGGCTCTCCTACACTTAAAACTGTTCAGCTAATATCAGTAAAAATTATGATAAAGAAGTCATGCTAAAACAAAATTTAATGCGATACGCATCCTCCATATTATTGTACAAGATAAAGCTCAAAATACACAAAGAAAACTCCTTCACATTTTGATATTTCACTAATAAAACTCTGACAACAGACAACAGAGAATATCACAACTATTCCATTTCCCTGAAAAATATTTAATCTACAAATAAAAGTTTTGCTCCTCGCTGCAAAATGTTAAATTTGTTGCCGACTGTCACAGTATCGACCACAGGGAAAGAGAGCCTTAGACGCTCAAACAACCTAATAACAACCTTACACCCAACTAGACAAAGCCCATTTTCCACCCCGCTCATTCCCCTACGAACCACATCTGCAATCAAAACTCTACTTTAAAACTATTAAAATAGAATTGAAAATAAAATGTATTCGCATTCTTACACACACAAACGGAAACCGTTCGATAAAATAAGACCTGTTGAACGTCATTACGCACACACGCAAACGCCAACGCACACATGATTGTTTACACTAGCTAAAATGGATAGTACTTGTTGGCAAAAAGTATTCTGTTACCGAGTTACGTAGAAAATGACGGATATACATACATACGTACTTAATATATATATGAATTTCGTTTAGGGGTCGACCTTATGACATTTATTGAATAAATTTTTCATGTTGCCACCGGATATGGATATGTCTTGTTAAGGTATGTATCATTTAGGTCTATTGTACTTTAAATCGATTTTTCTAGTAAAAGTGTGATCAAGTTTCTTAAATTCGATTGTCAGTTGGCTACAGCTTTCATCAAACTTGTGACTTGTGACTGAAAAAAAGCAGACGTCAGTGTGAAAGAATCAAGCTTCGGCACGAATAGGTCGGCTCGACCTTAATGATACTACGACCTCTTAAAAAACTATCGTGAAACAACTACAACGTTGTATTTCGTAGTTAAAGTCCGGTTACCGGAACCCCAAACCTTTCCCTTCCCCGTCTCTCCCTAATCCCTAAATCTCCGAAACCCTAATCCCCAAACGGCCGACAATGCACTTGTAAATCTTTTGGTGTTGCGGGTGTTCATGGGTGGCATCGATTGCTTACCATGAATAAGCCATCAGGAGTCCGCTCGTTTGCCACCTTATCTTATCTTAGGTTTGTATCAGCATCACCCTAAGGTTTGTATACACTGTCTATGGCATTTAATCGACCTAAAATATTGGCCTCTCGACTAGTTTCAAGCCACGTTAGGGGCTCATAAACATGAGCACGTACAAGACTTGTGACAAACGACTTAAACCTTATTGAGTTATCTCACCAAACACTTATGTAAGCCGTTATACATAATTATTAATTTAATATGTCAACAAAAATAACCTTATGTAGTATATGATGACAAATAAATAAATACTGGACGCATATACAGAAACTAGAGACTGCACCGCAAGTAATCCTGAAATATACAATTGAAAGCGAAAAAAGTATTTCAGAATTGTTAGAAGCTAAGGATCATGGACTCCCATCACTCGTTTTAATCGTACACTCCTTTATTATACTTTGAACTTTCACGTGGCATACTACTTTATTGTTTATCGTACACTTTGACGGATAGATCGTGATCATGGTATTATGTCCTTGTAATTTCTCTCCACTTTTTTCTGGAAGTGACATTCATCAATAAAACAATGACTTTATTTTTGCAAATAGGCCATAAAGCGGCACTTTTACACGTCAAATTATATGTTAAAAACCTAGACGAAGCCGGCATTTCCTATCTGACTACTCTGAGAAGAAATGCCGAAACAAGAGTGGGAGAGCCATGCTTCGGCACGAATGGGTCGGCTCGACCGGAGTGATACCGCGGCCTCACAGAAAACCGGCGTGAAATAACCAAAGCGTTGTGTTTCGCCGTGTGAGTGAGGTTACCGGAGGCCCAATCCTTCCCGTCCCCCAATCCCTCCTCAATCCCTAAACCTCCAAATCCCTAATCCCTAAAATGTCGGCAACGCCGCACTCGTAACTCCTCCGTTGCGAGTGTCCATGGGCGGCGCTGATTACTTACCATCAGGTAATCCGTCTGCTCGTTTGTCGACTAATTACATAAAAAAAGTACGCAACAGATTTTGCTTTATTGGATAGAGTGATTGAAGAGTAAGATTTATTAAGATATTAAATTAGTCTCAACATAGCACTCGTGCGAAGACCAGTGGTTCGCTAGCAGGTTACAATAAAACCGAACAAAATATCACAAAAAAAAACTACATAGAAAAATCCAGACTATAACGTCGAGGTTCGATTCCCAGCCACAATCGATAAACTTCGACATTCAATTTGGCATCAATCCAAACTGCGATTCCGGATCAAGATTTTTCGGCAGCCATATTTTTATTTGCATATTGCAGGCAACATTATTTTATTTTGAAGAAATATGTACAGCAAATGTGTATCTTGAAATGTACGTGTTCGTGAAAATTAATCTGTGTGTATTATGGCGTTTTTCTTATATAATGTTATTAAGTAATTTGCATTTCCCTGAAACACAGGTTTAAATAAATCTAGTTCAAGTGTTCCCTAGGCACTTTACATTTCAAAGTTTATCTCTATGTTACATATAAATATCATCATAATTTTAATAATCTAGATTAAGTTAACTCTTTCTTATAAATGTAATTAGGTCAAAACTTAGGTACTTAAATCAATTGAGCTACCTGTATAAAGTGTGATCTTTGTTTTTCAATAAATTTATTTTATTTATTTATTTATATTATTATTTGTACACTAAGCAAAATTGATTTCAAAATGGCAAAATCAGCCTAAAACTGGAATTGTTATTTAATTCTTATTCTCTTTGTTTGTTCTTACTTAATCTTCATGAATATAAATAATAATAATACTATATATAAATAATATAAATACTAATAAACTAATAGGCTATGACTTTATCTCCAACTTGTTTACAATTATTATAATCCCCTGTAGATTTACACTAATCGGGGATTGCATTTTTGTGGTGGTGCATTTCCATAGTACATATAAGAATAGTCGCTGATTAAATGACTTAAGGCCGCATAATTGGCTCCGTTCCTTCGTAAAATTCCCCAATGACTTTGGCCTTTGTGGTCCAGAAATTGCCAAAGACACATAAATAATAATTTTATTGTCATACTAGCTTCTGGTATGGTGATAAAAACCTATAGTCCTAGCCTATGTCCTATTTCGGAGTGTATCCTATGCCTGGGCCAAAATTCATCCAGTTCCGTCCAACCGTTTTGGCGTTATTGAGTAACAAACATCCAAACATCCAAACATCCAAACATCCAAACATCGTAACTTTCGTATTAGTAAGAAGTAAGATTTGACTACACGGTTGCTGCGGTTTCTGGGCTGGCTGCCGTGCAACGTATCGCGGGTTCGATTCCTGCACGGAACAACACTTTGTGTGATTCAAAAATTGTTATTTCGAGTCTGGATGTCATGTGTATGTGAAATTGTATGTTTGTAAACGCACCCACGACACAGGAGAAAATCCTAGTGTGGGGCAACGCTTTTTTTAAAAAAAGAAGAAGAAAAGAAAAAGAAAGAAAGGAGATACTAAGCAATCTGCGATAAAATACAAGCGTTACATTTAAATTGTTCCGGATTCCAAATCCTAGTTCGCTAACCAAACCAAAAATAAATATTTATAACAATGAATTGTAATTTTACTTCCTATTTTCAAATACTTTTCGAAATTGAGGTTTCAGCTCTAGACATAGGACAAAGGGCTTAACGCTAGCTTGGATCTAGCTAGTGGTTGCCGCTTGGTTTCACTCTGTCAAACGGATCGCCTGTTAATACCACAAGGGTAGGCAGGAAGGCTTATATTGTAAATCTGAGCATAGTTTGAATATGTGTAGACGGAGCTGCAATGTTGTAATATTAATGTCCAAGATTTTAAGCTTAGCTTAAGAAAATAAAGTAATAGCTACTTGCCTATATGTCCTTAAGACTTGATTTTTTGAAAATATGGAATTACTTGAGTGAATTAACTGAGAAGAGCTCAAGGCGGCTACGTCTCGTCGACAAGCACGCTTCCCTTGCATAAGAGTCCCGCTGTGACTTGAGACTAGTAGAGCTTTATTAATTATTGTTACACGACAAACTATCATGAAACAATTATTTTATGTAATCCTTTAAACATGTTGTGTTTAATACTCTAAGGCAAAGTAAATAAATATAACGAAGTAAAACCGTACTTCTGTGTGTAATTACGGCTTCATAGCTTCTAAGTGATTATCTCATAGTAATATGTATATAAAATTCTCGTGTCACAGTTTTCGTTGTCATACTCCTCCGAAATGGCTGAACCGATTTTGATGAAATTTTTGTGCTTAACCGGTATCTATGAAAATCGGCCAACATCTATTATTCATCCCCCTAAATGCCCACCCCTAAATTTATATTTTTATTTTTAGATACTAATTTTTCTATCATACAACATACAAATACACATACAAGACAACCTTTTACGATCAACCCTTTTTTTTAATAGCCAAAAACAGGTCAGCTAATATAAACATGAACAGAATAGAAATTTGATTTTTTTTCAAATTCCCTTAAATGAATTTATTTTGTTTTTATTTGTAATGGGCTGTCTACTATTTCGCTTGGTGGTAAACGTTGACGCGACCTACGATGAAGCACGCCTATCCATAAGCAACCTATTTACTCGAGCCTTGAAGACATACAAGTTATCCCTTTTAATTGCAATACCAGTAAATTACTGAAAAAACACTTTTTTGTCTCCAAAAATATCTAATGTATCTTCTTGACCTTTAACACCTACGATTGGAATCTTATCTAGATTTATTATTAGATAGAGTCAGAAAAAAAGATTTCTAACACAACTCAGAAAAATCCATTTCTTAAATTCTCGATTTATTGGTATCTTATATAACATATAAAAGTTATTTTTGGAAACTCTTTTTATAACATAAGGAATTGTTCGTATGAGTAAGTATTTGCATTATTATCTATACCTTTATAATAAAATGTATATTTTTATGGATTTACTTGTTTAGACAAGTGTCAGGGCATTCTCTAGAACCAATTCTGTGTATTATAATCTCTTTAAGATATATAAAAAATTCTTTACAATTCGGAGCTTTCTCAAGTCCTTAACTTTTAGACTGAACGGTTGGCGCGGTGGCTGGGCAACTGCAATTCTTTGTGTGATTCACAAATTGTTGTTCCAGATCTGGGTGTATGTGAACTTGTATGTTTGTAAACGTACCGGTGTCGTACACCGGATAAAATCCTAGTGTGGTGCAACGTTTTTTTTAAACAAATAAAAACAAAAAAAAAACTTTTCTTATGTGCTCAACTACTTTCCAACCACGACCGGGGCTTATAATCATAAAGAATGACTTTGCAGAGCCAGACAAAGAAAGACTTTTATGTCTATTTTAAGGCATCATGTCAATTCATTATTTTTCTGAACACATCTACCTATCACTTAAAGAAATAAAAGCGTGGCACCAACCCATAAAGAACCTATAGACGTTATTAGGATCATCATTTCAACGTCCTTTACATTACTGTGATGGAAGCCAACATTAATTTGGCAAAGCATTCCCTGTTAACGGTAATTACTGCCAGTGTTAGCCATCAAATATTCAACATTAGGCATTTGATTCATTTTGTGTGCTTGTGACCATCGTATCTGGAATTCTGGATGAGAAATGCAAATGTTTGTTCGTCTATCCGTGTTCGTTTGATAATACATTTAGAGTTGCATATTCAACTGCTGACATCAACGTAGGCAGTGGGAAATATATTATTGTCATAACACTACATAGTATAAAGTAAAATTGCTTTCTCTGTCCCTGTGTCGAAATGTATGCTTGAATCTTTTAAATACGCAACGGAGTTTGATGCGGTTTTTTTTAATAGGTAGTGATTGAATGGGAGTTGTAATTTGAAGCCGTTTTCTTATATGGACTAAACTGAAATACATACGTTACTAAAAATAAATTTTAGACGACTATAACTGCTTAGCTGTATAACATTTCTCATGGCAGACTGGAAGCAACGACTGTCGCAACCGAGGGCCGGTGTTGTGCACGCTATTAAAGCAGCGGTAAGACCCCACTTTGAGGAGTGGCTTGAGAGAGTCCACGGCTTCCTCACCTTCCGCCTGACGCCGGTGCTTACCGGGCACGGCAGCTTCGGTAGGTTCTTATATCGCCTAGTCGCCATTGTCAGGGCCACCCAGAGGACACGGTGGCGGTGTTCCTTGCTTGAGTTGAACATCGCGGTGTCCTCTTAATCTTGTCTTTTTTTTTTATTAATCTAAATCTTGTCTAATCTTGTCTTAATCCTTTAAAAATATTTCTAAAGTGATTAGTTTTCCCTATGTTTTCCATTTCCCATAGAAGAATAATGATTAGTTTAATATGTAGTACAATGAAATAAGTACTTTTTCCCTACTGATTGAAGCACAAATCGACAATAAATGCAAAAATTTTAAACCCATTTCACATCGACAGTAAGACCAATTTAAAAATATCGCTCGGAAGTTGTAACAACCTTGTTAAGAGTTTTATTTTCCTCTTCAATGCACGAAGTCTGCCGACCTAATACCGTTATACACCTTGTTATAACGTTGAACTCTAGTTTAAATATACTTTAAGGCAGTGTGGGAGAGCCAAGCTTAGGCACGATTGGGTTGGCTCGACCGGAGTGATACCACCTCACAGAAAACTGGCTTGAGACAACCCCAGCGTTGTGATTCGTAAGATTACCAAAGAGCCAATCCCTCCCCCTTCTCCATCACTTCCCAATCCTTAAATAACCGAAACCCTTATCCGTAAAAGGCAGGCATCGCACTCGTAACTCCTCTGGTGTTGCGGATGTCCATGGGAGGTGTTGATTGCTTACCATCAGGTAATTTGCCTGCTCGTTTGCCGACCTATACCATACAAAAAATACTTATACAAAATATTTTTATTTTGAACGATTTTATGGAGATTCGTGACAATCTAGTATGTGTAAAGCTGCTGTGGCAAGCAGCTGGCACCGTCCATGACCAGTCACAACACCAGAGAAGTTACAAGTACATGCTTAATCATTGGTGTTAGGGTTTTAAAATTTTGAGGATGAACGGGGACGATCAAGAACCCGGGAACTTTTTCTGGTAGTCACTACGTACAGACGGCACTCGTCAATGATGAGAGCGAGTCGTATGTACAACGCAACGTGCCAGGAAGCTGGTATCGACATTTTCAAGAAGACAAGAAGATCAAGAAAAATAAATACTAAGCAAGCCTTTTTTATGCCGGTTTTCCGTGAGGCCATGGGTCTCTCCAGTCTGGTTGGCTCATTCGTGACGAAGCATGACTGTTTCACACTTACCTACCTCATTTTTTTTCTAACAAAAATTATTTAAACATAGTACTTACCTATAATAAAATATAAAACTAGTTTCCCGACCGCTGAGGTTAAGCGTTCGTGCGCCTGCGATGATGATTTTTTGTGCTATTTTTGTAAATATTCCAGTCGCTTTCCATAGCGTAAAGTGGCTAGCCTTAATTCTGTAACATATTGATTTAAGTGGAAGCTATTCGATCGAAACGCACGAATTTTTGAAGACTGACAAAAAAATATATCATATATTTTTTATATAAAACGTTGCACCACACTATTATGGCCTCACAAAATTTTTATAAAAGAGGTTTAGGTTAGGTTTCTTTATTATTAATCGGTGTGCATAAATAAATGACCACTCCAAATTGAAAACCTTTTTGTTTTTTAGAACCTTCTATTCGGTTAAAAAACGAACACGAATGGGTCGGCTCGACCAGAGTGATACCACGACCTCACAGAATACCGGCGTGAAGCAACCCAGCGTTGTGTTTCGCCGTGTGAGTGAGGTTACCGGAGGCCCAATCCCTCCCCTTCTCCTATCCCTTCCCGTTCCTTTTATCCGCAACCCCTATCCCCAAAAGGCCGGCAACGCACTCGTAACTCATTTGGTGTTGCGGGTGTCCATGGGCGGCGCCGATTGCTTACCATCAGGTAATCCGCCTGCTCGTTTGCCGACTTATACCATAAAAAAAATATCTCTATGTATGCTTAAATCTCTAAAGCTACGCAACGGATTTTGATGCGGTTTCTTTAATAGATAGAGGAAGGTTTATGAGTATAATAAAATTTGTTAAATAGTGTAAAAAAACAGTATAAGCATTGCACGCGCGCGCACCCTCATTAGTTCGTAATAAAATAAAATGAAGTATAATAATAATATATGCATTTAGATTCAGTTCAAAAAATCTCCATTGATGCTTTCGTATCAATTCAGAGTTGCATTTCGATTACTTGGAGCAATCTCCCTGGAGAAATACTGTGCGATCCGCATCCCGCAGCCCGCAGCCCGCAGCCTGCAGCCAGACTAATCGGAATCGTTTCAAAGCCAGACTACGCCTTGAATTTTGCTATTGGTTATGTATAGGAAAAGAATATTGGAATTATTTATAAGAATATTGTTTTTTGTATGTATGACTTTTCAGATAGTTAATCCTTTGAAATTACTTTACGGGAGAGCTAAATTTTCAGTACTTTTTTAATTTTATCAAGTGTGGGAAAGTTGTGCATCGGCACGAATAGGTCGAGTCAAACAGAGTGATACCACGGCCTCACAAAAAACCGGCCTGAAGTTACCGGAACCCCAAACATTCCCTTCCTCCAATCAGAAAACCTCCAAACCTCTAATCTCTCAAATTTCGGCAACGCACTCGTCGCTGGTGTCCATGGGTGGCGCTGATTGCTTACCATCACGTAATAATTCGTCTGCTTACTTGTGTGGAAGTAGAAACAACTCTTTAGAACATAATTGTATTAAGAACGTTCGTTGTCTTGCTGTCCCTCTCTCTCTCCCTTTCTCTCTCTCTCTCTCTGTCCCTCTCTTACTCGATAAATTTAAGAAAATATAACAACAAAAAAAGAATTCTGTCTCTTTAAATACTTCAAATACATGTAAAAAAACTCGTAAAATGTACTGTAAAATAATAATTTTCACCTAAATCAGACTCCCCTTAACGAATACCTCGAAATAGCAGCATTTGATCGCCAACAGGCGCTGCGCACGCTTCGATCGCTTGCGCACCGATCGATTGATTTATACACACATCCATACTTCCCAATACAACGTAACAACCACTTTCAAACCACTCTATAATCAACCTAAAGACTTCAACGTAAAGTTGAAAATTGAATAGTACATTAATAATTCCAGAATCAGGAATAAATTCACGGGCCATCTTTATGCGAGTAGGCAGGATTTTGAAATCAGAACGGGGCCACGTGCCATAGACAGTAGAGCAGACGGTTTACGTAAGAATTATTTAAATTTTTGGAAGTGAAATGATATTTCCAGCCAGTCTCTTTGTTTAGTTCTAAATTTAAATGTTAGTAATGTGTCTAAAAATGTTTTTGGTGGAACAAAGAGGTTGGATGTGGTTCTTTGTGTTTCGTAAAGTCTTACACCCGGTTTCTGAAAGGCTTGTCAACGCTAAAATTAACTAATCTTCTGTTAAATCTCTTGTGAAGTCATCTGATTGGTTGTTGATAATTCAGTCAACCAATCAGATGACTTGACAAGACATTAAATTGATTTTAACATTAATCTGCATTCGGAAACCGGGGGTTAGTGTAGATTTTCTTTGTGATAGCTTTAAATAGGTAGACATTTTTTGACATCCTTATAGGTACATATGAAAATTTTTTCCTTGCTCCTGCCCTTCGGTTAGGTTTTTTAGACAAAACAAAAGGATGATGTATTTCACCCTCTTAAGTAGAGGAGTCTACAGTATGTTAGGCAAAAACGATAGATATATTCAAGGACCCGATTCGGGGACCAATATCTAAATCTCAAAAACAAATTTATTTCCCAATGCAAATTGCAACAGCTGATTGATGATTACGAGACTAAGTTTTTTTTTTAGATAATTTCTTGGTAAAAATTGTTGGTTGTATTTGAGCACAAAAATCGGCTCCTTCAATATGTCCCTCCTTTAACCTTACACTCTGTATAGTTCCGCAGTGTTGGGTTATTCAACTGAGTTGGAGTCTTCAGATTACAGATATGACCCACTGGATATATCTAGAACACATATTGACTGTGTGCCACACTTAGGCTGAGCACCGCTGTGTCCACATGTAAGAGATCGGTGGTGGCGAGCTCTGGCGTTAGGCCTTCGAAGGTATTGCGTGGAGCCAGTGGAAGTGAAAAGTCGTCTCTTCTGTCTGCTAAGCAGACATGCTCTCAAGCAAGAAGGATATTAAGTATGCAAGCTTTGGCACGAATGCGTTGGCTCGGCTGGAGTGATACCACGGCGTCACAGAAACAACCACAGCGTTGCGTTCCGCCGTGTGTGTAAAGTTACCAGTGCCAATCCCTTCCCCTCTCCTAATCCCTTCCCAATCCTTAAATATCCGAAACCTTCATCCCTAAAAAGCCGGGAACGCACTGGTAAATCCTTTGGTGTTGTGGCGCTGATTGCTTACCATCAGGTAATTTGTCTGCTCGATGGCGACATATAACATTATAAAAGATAAGAAGCTATCCTCCTCACACCGCAGGAGACCGGGTTGTCAGGGATCGCACACTTAAAAACATACCGATCAGGTTTTGTTTGAATCCGCAACCGAACCGATAAGGGCGACTTGACCTCAGGGGTCGACTCGATTTTCAAAAAATCTCCTAAGTCCCTGCTAGTATTAACTTTTCTAATTATCAAAAGAACACTTATCCCTTCCACATTCACTCCACTCCATAAATTAAACTCCCAGCCGAGGCAACCTCATAAAAAATGTACAGTCAACAAAAAATAATCGCCACAAAAACTGCTTACACCGCATCGCATTTCTTTTTCGGAAACTTCAACGAATTTCTTACTTAAAGAGAAGAAAGAAAATATATGCAAAAAGTAATTCGCGTTCGCAACAAAACGCCGATTTTTAACAAGCTTTGCTTAGGCCTCCAGCAACCCTTGACTTAAGAACTCAATACACACAAGCCAAATGTAACTTTATAACATCTCGACTTAGGCACATTATTGTCTGAACCGCGATGCCAACAGAACTTCTATCATAACTTGAACGATGAAAATGAAGGAAAACGCACATTATTTTTTGTAGCAATAAAGTTTAAATTTCAATAGAGGGTTGTAGTATTCTTTTTTTAAATACGGCCTGTATTATTGGGATAGAAGAGTGTAGTAAAAGAGCTCATTGTTTTGAGTGAGACGACTACCGTGTTGTGGTATTATC